TAATTACAAAAAGTTTAGTTATGATTTCATTCTGTGTTTTGATATTATTAAAGTATACAGGTTTATTATATCTATTCAAAATGCTATTGATCATTTTAGTAGGTTTGGTTTGAAGAAGGTCATATTTTCTATTTACAGCTTAGTTGATATGTTTTCTTATTTCTCTAGGTTTTGAGTATTATAAAGGAATTTCTAGTAATCTTTAGAAACTAAAATCCAGTTTGGTATTAGGTTAATATCAGATGGAAGTGAGGGAATATTAAAAGAATGTCAAGAATTAATATATTAATTATAGTAGAAAGATCAGAATATGGCATATTAAGGTTATTTAGATATTTTTTAGCCTTTCTAATTGCTCCTCCTAGAGTTTTAAGGTTTAGGTGTAGTTCTGTTGCCTTAGAAGAAAAGGTATAGTGAAAGTTTTTAGTTATAAACTTTTTGTTAGGGATCTTAGAAAGAGCTGCTTGAATTATACTAGTTTGAATTTTATGCTAAGTAGTTTCTAGAGATTCTGTTGTTTGTATTAGAAGTAGAGTATTGTTGATTAATAGGTTAGAATTTGTTTGGTCTGCAAATTCTTGTTATAATTCTGTAGTTATTCCTTTGTAGTTAAAAATTCTTTGTTTAGTATTGGTTTTGTTTTTGGTTTTCCTAGAAAAAGCAAAAGAAAAAGACCATTTAGAGACTAGAATTCTGTGATCACTATTGGTTATAGTAAAAGAATCTTCATAATAAAATTCAGTTAGAAATTATATAGTTGGATAATATGCTTAGATATAATTGATTTTGCTGCAATATCTGCTGCTTTGCTAGGTATTTTGTTAGTTGGCTATATAATCAGCTAGATCATACATATTGATACTATATAAGTAGAATAGTAAATATATTTTAGAGAAGTACTAGATATATAATTAGTAGATGCATTAAAATCTCCTAGAACAATAGGAAGAAGATTTAAGCTAAGAGCTTACTAGGTCTATATTATAGCTTTTTCTTGAGCTGAGTCCTTATGAGATTTGTTTGAGGTAGATAAACAAACTAAGAATCAAACCCCATTACCAAACCCAAATAGCATAGAACTTGATTCACCTAAAATACAAACTCCAAAAAAGAATAATACTAACAGTATACCAACTCAACTAACACAAAACAAACTTCATCTTATTCAAATACTCTAACAAAAGATTTACTAAAACCTTATACTAAAACCAACAAACCTAAACCAAACCCAGTATTCAACTAGCTCACTAACTTTCCAATTACAGAAGAAATGAAACCTAATACTAAACTCCAAACCAAACTATCCTTTCAACTCTTTAACTTTTTAAAAAAAAATCTCTCTAACTTTACTTTAGGACAAACATCTTTTAAATACTTTATCCGTACAATAGCTAGTTAAAGATCTGAGTTCTTAACAGAACTTATTTACTAAACAAACCCAAACATTAATTCGAATACAACAATTTATTTCAACCTTATTAAATCAACTCTAAAAGATTTACTAGTAAAATTTACTACTATTCTTTTTACTAAATTGAACTATGGAGAGATCTTTGCATTTCCTATTACTATTCTACTACACAAAATTCAAAACTGCCTTCAAATTTGCTTAAATATGGTAAGACTTTGCCTCTATTTAACTAATAATTTTCAATCTATGAATTATACAAAATTTAGCAAAGACTTTAAACTTAGACCAAAAAGATTCAAAATTGATTAAACAATTGAATACATTGACCAAGAGAAAGAATACTTTATTATTTCATCAGATCTGAGATTTAATATTAAAGTATTATTCAACCTCCCTAAAACACTTTTCTTTGATAATTTTAATATTTTATCCTTAAAAAACTCAGTAGATAATCTCAACAAGTAGTTTGAGGAAATCTTCTTTACTTACTTCCACTAATTTGATAAATCTATTGACAAACAAAAAACCCTTACTTATCTTAAATTCCAAATCAGATAACATTTTATTCTTTATCTAGCTAAACTCCTTTCAGAAAAATATGAAATGAAAAAACCTAGCTCTAGATATAAATATCAAATAGAAGCAACTCAATTCTCTAACTACTACACTCTTACATATACAAACAAAATATACAAATACCTTAAAGCAACTAATAAGTTAGACAAACTAGACACTGAAAATAAGGAAAAAGAGAAAAATAAAAAAACTAAATAGCATGACTCTGACAAACTGTTTAAAGCAATAATAAAATACTCAGAGGTTGTCTACTCACCTAGTGAAAGTAAACAATAGAAAGCTCTACTCTTAGATACTTCTATTTTTTACATTAACAGAGAATATGAAGCTATGTTAAAAACTAAAATTTTTACTTAACTCCTTGACGAGTTGGCTAACCAAGCAAAGGAAAATGTCTGTAAAGCTAATAATATTAAAACAAACATTAAACATTATAACTATTACTTCTACTAATATCTAATAGCTTATTACAACCACACTACACAAAACCATAAAATAAGCCTTCTTAACAAAGAAGAAGATATCATATTTTTAACTGAGCAACTCATTGATACACACTTTCTAGCATGCATAATTACATATTATGATATTATACTCAACAATATATTAACATACAAAACAATAACTGAATATTATAAAACAACAGCTGTACCAGAGGCTAAAAGGTTTTTAAAAGAAAAATTCAATATTAACTTCAAACTAGTAGAATAGAAAACTTACTATTTTTAGAAATTAAACAAACTCCTTCTTTTCAGTAAGCTTGTCTTTTACAAATCCACTAATCTCTCCTAATCTTGTAGAAGATATTCATATAGTAGTCCCATTATTAACACAATTAAAACAACAAGAACTACTACTATGCTATAACAAATTTCTAACATACTACAACCTTCCTCTCTTATACAACAATCAAACTATTGAATCTTTCTTTAACTACTTAAAATCTTATAAGTTCAACCATAAAACAATATTTTCCTTTAACCCCAAACTTGGTGAAGCATATATATATATACTCCTGATAATATATACCTACTCAACAACTACTTGTTTATAGAGTCATATTAACTTTTAACATATTACAACTTACTATTAAAATCACAAACTCATCTAACTACTAATTTTAATCTTAACCTTAATATAGTAACCCATAATGCTCAAGGCTTTAATGTTCTAACTAAAAGACAACTTTGGGAAGAATATTGTATAAAAGAAAACTTCAATATTGCTAGCATTACTAAGACTAAACTGAAAACCTCATGATCTCAAAAATTTTTAAATACTAAAAACTTCTCCTACTTTTAGCCAAGTCTTAAAAACTCTGCAGAAGGAACTGCACTTATAATTAATAACAATCTAAAGCCATATATTCACAATGTGCTAACACATTATAAGGAGGCTGTTGCTGTTGATCTCTTCTTCAAATATTACTTCAAATTCAGAATTATTTCAGTCTATTTATCTACTTCAAACAAATCTCATAGCGACTCAGCTCAAGAAAAAGCTATAATATAGATCCAGCAAGCTTTTAGCTTAAATCTTTTTCCTATTGTTCTAGGAGATTTTAATGCATCTACTAATTATATATCTAATACTTCTTCTAAAATATATTTACTATCCTATTTACATAGTATCAATATGTATAATCTGGCTGATCATATAGCTAACCAACAAAATACCTGGCAAAGTAGTAGATATTGTAGCAAAATTGATTATATCTAGGCATATCATCCAACTATACAATTTCTAACTGAATTTTTTATAAAGATTCTCTTACTATAACTAATAGCGATCACAAAATCCTAGTCTCTAAATAGTCTTTTCCTTTTGCCTTTTCTAGAAAAACCAGAAACAAAACTAATACTAAACGAAGAATTTTTAACTACAAAGGAATAACTACAGAATTATGACAAGAATTTGCTAACTAACCAAATTCTAATCTATTAATCAACAATACTCCACTTCTAATACAAACAACAGAATCTTTAGAAACTACTTGGCATAAAATTCAGACTAGTATAATTCAAGCAGTTCTTTCTAAAATTTCTAACAAAAAGTTTACAACTAAAAACTTCTATCACGCCTTTTCTTCTAAGGCAATAGAACTACACTTAGACCTTAAAGCTCTAGAAAGAGCAATTAGAAAGGCTAAAAAATATCTAAACAACCTTAACATCCCATATTCTGATCTTTCTACTACAATTAATAACATTAATTCTCGATATTCTTTTAATATTCCCCACTTCCACCTAATACTAACCTAATACCAAACTGGATTTTATTTTTTAAAGATTGCTGAAAATCTTTCTATAACGCCTGAAACCTAGAGAATACTCATTAAATAAGAGAATATATTAACCAAGCTACAAATAGAAGATGTGACCTTCTCCAAACCAAGCCTACTAAAATGATCAATAGCATTCTAGATAGATATAATAAACTTGTATACTTTAACAATATCAAAACACAGAATGAAATCACAACTGAATCTTCTGCAATTAAATTAGCTATCTAACAACACTTTTACAAATAGACTGCTCATTGAAGTCTTAATCAAACAATCTTCAACTCGAGCTGGAATGAAGAATATAAACCCTCTCTAGATATTAAACCTGAATAGTATAACCCTATACTATCAGAAATCACTATTGAGGAAGTCACAGAAACCCTAAGCAATTTGTCTAATAACAAGGCTTGTGGACCTTTCAGAATTAGCTATGAAATGATTAGATACTCAGATCTAAATACAATTCAAGCTATTACAGCACTACTTAACCATTGTCTAATAACACAAACAATCCCTAAACAATGGAAGGATGGTCGTATTTTTCCTATTCTAAAAAAACCTACTTTTGATATTAAAAAACTTTATACAAAAATCCTAACTACTCAACTTAGCTTAGTTCTTACTTCTCACAAAATTCTTAATCCACATAACTATATAGCACTACCAGAAAACAGTACAAATACTTCAATACATATTCTTAACAATATTATTGAAGATTCCTACTTGCGGATGGAAGCAGTAGATTCAGCAGAGAAAGATAAATTGTTAGCAGAAGAGTTAGCCGAAATGAGAAAAAAAGAGAATGATACAACGAAAATTGTTAAAGAGATTGAAAAAAGTAAATGTTCGGTAACTGTAACAAAAAAGAGCTATGGCTTCTGTCTCAGGACATGAGTAAAGTCTATGACTCAGTCAACCTTGATCTCCTTAAACTAGCTCTTGAATGCATCCAAATTCCTCCTCAACTATGCAATATTATAACTAATTTACTAACAAATTGCACAAACAGAGTTATTACAAATCTAGGTCTTACAGAACCCTATAATGTTAATAATGGCATTGACTAATGAGAAACAATAACTTCTCTGCTATGGCGTATTTATTATGACCCTCTAATCAACAAAATCTCAAGCTCCTACTAAGGCTACACTATATCTGCAACTTGCAAGAATTCTATTCTCACATACAAATACAAAAACCTCAAAGTATCATCTTCTGTACTGGCTTACATAGATGACACACTCTGGATTACAAACTCTAAATCAAACTTAGAATCAATAATACAAATAGCAACATCATTCTATCAGATGGAAAATATTCAAATCAACCCTCATAAATCAGTTCTTATTACCAATACCAAAAAACAATCTGAGTTAAACTTTATTAACTCATCTATACAACCACAACAACCTAATATACCATTCAAATTTCTTGGCTGCTGGTTTACTTTGGATGGCAAACAAACTCAGCAAACCAAACTCATTATCAATGAAATATCTCACCTAACTAATACTCTTAAAACCAAACATATAACTGACAAACAAGTCAGTTATATCATTAATACAGTTATTATACCTATTATCGAATACCATATTTATAATATTATCCTTCCTCAAACAACATGCAACAAAATTCTTAGCTCATATCTCTCAGTTGCCAAACACAAATCTAATCTTGCTACAACACCAAATAGTACTCTACTCAACCACAACATTTATGGTATCAAAAATATCTGAGACATCCAACTCCAATACTATATTTCTAATTTCTTAATTAGACTATATGATACTGGATTCTTAGGTATCTCTACTTATATTAGGCTACAACAACTTCAAAACAACCTGTGGTCTACTACAAACATCCTCCAACATCCACAACCACAAATTGATAGTCCAAATAAACATTCAACAAACTTTAAAATTATTCTTCTTTTTTAATTATCTAAACATCCACATTTTAACAAATACTAATAACTCTCAACCTATTATTATCTCAGATCTATATACATCTCTTGAAAAAATTTTTCAACATAATAATCTTTATAATTCTTTTAAACATCAACTATGAACAAAGCAAATATTATTTCTTGAACAATTAACATCTGCTGACAACTATACACTTTTAGACTAGACTCATATCTCTCCTAGACTAAACTATTTATCTAAAAGCCGTAAACCTAAATAGTTCACAACTCTAGAAACAATAATACTGGAAGATTCCTTTACTAGAGCTATCTCTAATCAATTTCGGCCATCAACTAATAATTCTCTAGTCTATACAACTGGCCATTTTAGCACAAGGGCTAAACCTTGGCTAATAACCTACCTGTTGTCATTAACAACAGTTATTATTGGCAAAGCCCGATGTCTATTTCCTGATAAGAATACTATATCTATTACACATTGGATATTACAACCAAACTCAGACTCCTTTAACTTATATCCATACTTAAATCCAACATGTTTTCCTTGTCAAGGATGCAGTCTAAACTCAGGGAAAGTAACTAGCTCATGTACTTTTGAAGTTTCAGCTACATTTTCAACAAAATTTCTTAGTCAGAAAACATACCAGGAACCTTCTAACAAACTTAAACTTAATACAAATTACCTTGACCTTTTATACTCAATTGCTCTTCATGATTCTTCTACTATTTCTCCACTTCTAACTTTACAAATAACTTCATCTTCAATTTCGATGATTTTCAATTCTAGTGAAATCACTCAACAACTTGAATCTATTTACCAAAAAAATTATAACCAACAATAATTTATTTTCTATACAGATGGATCTGTTATTGACATTTGTACTAACCAATGCTCTATGGGTATTGGGTGGGTTCAAGTTAGTGATGACCAGATCTTACACAAATTTTCTGTATAAATCCAACTCTGGCCATCTTCCTACAAAGCTGAACTAATCTCAATTCTATCTGCTATTAGTACTTGTCTCCGTAATAGCCAAATCCAAATTTTTACTGACTTCTTATCTATCATTTATAAATATAACAAACTCCTTAAAAAACTACTTATCTTATTCAAAATTCTTTCTTTAAAATATTAGCCTATTTGTTTTACTGAAACTTTAGTTTTTTGTAAAATATGTTAATCATATTATTATTATATAATTATCATAAATTTATAATATTATAAATTTAAAAATATATTAAAAATATATTAGAAATATGATAAAAATATTTTTTTATTTCTGTTAAGTATCCAGTAAGTGTATTATAAAAAATATGTTTAACATATATTTAAAATA